CTTCCACGCGTCTTTTCGGGTAAGATCAAAATATTTGAATTTGAATCTCCTTCTTATCTTGAGCGCCAATCTCTGAAGACGGTCGAACGAAAAAATGTTTGAAACCTTAGCCACATTTTGAATAACAATCTTTATTCAATAATTCGAATTGGTAAACCTTTCCAACGAATTTTACTCAATTCGAATCTCAACCTTTATGACTTCACATAAATAAAGTAGTGGAATATTCTGAAGTATATTCAAGTCTAACTTTAAAATCCTTAGTCGAAATTTCCAGCTAACATGGTCTCAATGCCGTCGAAGTTACAAAATATACCATCGAATACGAATTTTTTCTAATGGTATCGACTATATTTGATACATACTTATTGTCACTATTGATTTTTGTATATATAAATTTGAAATTGAAGCTTAGTGCGATGATCATGTTTGTTCTTTCGTGTTTTGGGATAAAGACTGTGTCCCAATTATTGGCATGACAACTTCCAAGTTAAGAGATATCATGAAAGAAGTGAGTAACATATGTCTTGGCACATAAGTTTTGTACTTCCATATTTATAACATGTTTTTTATTGCACATATATACCGGAAAAAACTCATTGATCTTTGTAGCTTTAACAAATATGTATTTGTTCTGTAGGTTAGAGAATATCACCCACAAATATACCCTAGAAACCTTGATAGTATATTGAAAAAAAAATTGGCCTTTCATGTCAAGTATTCCATGTTCTACAAAAAATACTCAATTGTCATGCTTAATAGAGATAAACAAGTCTACAAATTAATCAATGAACATATGAACCCAAATGAGGTGATACATGAACCCCATATTAAAATTATACTGTCATACTTTCATGAGAAGTTTCCTTAACTAAAATGTTATTATATGAATATAACACACTTCAAAGGTGGCTCAAGTGGAAACTCTTCCTCCAATTCCAACATCTCAAGACAACCAATATTTAGTATGTTATTTATATATATGCAGTTTTTCTATTCATTGCTAATTTATCACATTATTACTTTTGCTGATAAAAAGTTTATTATTTATCTTGTTTACTTAGATCCAATCTACTAAACTAAATGTGTCTGAAACAAGCTCTACCAATACATCATCTAAGAGGGATGTTATCGCCATTGGATTTAATGATCTGTCACCAACCATGTATATAACACCACAACATTTTGCCACTAAAGTGAAACACATGAAGAATGAGTGATATAAAACATATTTTGTAATGTTAACTACTTATTTATTATCTTTCAACCTGATTTGCAATGTTTCATTGATAAGTGCAAATTGTAGTTATTTTTGTATATATTTTTTGTTGCACTTATCAACTCTTTGTTGTTAAATTCAGTTGAATAACCCAACTTTATGTATAAATACATTTAGTTTATATATAATGTGTTTTCGTGTATATAGTGTATCGTTTGATAGTTTTGCATTTATTTTGTAGGTATTTAAGCATTGTTGGAGAAAGAGGAATAAAAGCTCTAAGATGCATTATTGGATCAATAAAGGAATAAGGCCAAGAACAGAGAGCCAATAGATTTATGCAGAAGGAGCAACAAAAGTTGTTGTTCTGGTGTGCCTCATCGGGCGAAGCCTGGGCGAGGAGCCTTCGCGTCGGCCTCGTCAGGCAACGGAGGGGCGAGAGGACTAGACTTATTTCCAATAGCTACTGACTTGGGCTCGCCAGCAGCTAGCTGGGCGAGAAATAAGGATGTCGCCGGACGAAGCTTCCCTTCGCCGGGTGAAGGAAGATATTTGAGACCAGTTGCGTACGTGGTGCAACCTGGGCCTTGTATTTAATAACCATCGTCGGGTGAAGCTTTTATGTCATTGGGCGACGCGTGCGCACCAGATTTTTGTATATATTTCATTTTCATTTCATTTTGTTTGGTTATGATTTTTTGGATTGTTTTTGCTCCCAACTCTATCAACTCTCATTTTTCTCTAGATTTAGCTTAGAAAACAACATTGAAGCTTGCATACGATGATCCGGGTGGATTGCTCTTTGATCGGCGCTGACAAATCGAGAGATTTATGGTTCATTTCTCTTCTTTTTTTTGTGTATTTTTTGTATGTTGAGTTCGTATATGTATTTACTTTGATCTTATGTATATTTGTCTCATATGGCGTTATATAAAATTTGCTTTACAAATCTTTGTGAATTGTTACTCTTGATTTTTACTCTGTACTAGAGATTTGAGTTGTTATAGACATATACTGCTCAGATTTTTATCTAGAATGATTATCTGTTAATTTCTGAATTTTAGAGATAGATTTAAAGTCAAGTTGTTTGCCTTCCTCATTTTTATACCTATCGTCTTCATTTATTTCATGGGCTTTTTTCCCTTTTTTTATTTAAAAAAACTGATATAATAAAGATACATAATTCATCAAATTAAAAGAGATAAAATAAGAGAAAGTCAAGAAATTTTAAAAAGAGAATAGAAAATATTCTAAAAGAGTTATATCATCACAATAATTGTCTAACATTATTTTCAATTTGCTTTACAAATTAATATTAGAGGAGTTAACATGCCACTCCCCATATTATATATGACATTCCCTCAATCTTAACACATTTATGAAACTGTCTTTAAAATATATTGGATTTTTTGAAATTTTTGATACAGTACCGAAAATTTTATGAAATTATCAGAAATTTTGTTAAATTTCCAATTTTTATTGTACCATATGAACTTAACTGAAAATTTAAAATTTCTGATAACAGATATTTCAAATTCCTGATGTATTTCATCCTTATAAGAGGAATCGGAAATTTAAAATTTTCGTGTGGAAAAAACCGAAAATTTTAAGTATAACTGAAATTTCCGATACCCCAAAAGATTCAAATTTACGGTAAATATTTTCTATCGAAAATTGTGTAATTTTCGGTACGTGTATTGACTTTTAAAAATTGACACAAAAATTTTAAATTTTTTGATTAATCGCAATCGAAAATTTTGAAATTTCTGATTAATTGCAACCGAAAATTTATAGAATATACATAATTTTCTTAAGCGATCAAAATGGACATTAGAAATTTATTTAACGTATCATAAATTTCGATTTTTGACTCTTTTAATCAATAGTAATTTTTTTTTATAAAAATAAAAAATTTAGAATAAATAATAAAAGAAGTATTTTGAGAATAATGAAATTTGAGTGGATGATACTTATAATATTAGAGATCATAAATTAATTTCTCCTAATATAGAAAATAGGAAATATAGATAAAAAAGATAAATAGATATAGAAGACGGATAGGGTGTTCAAATCTAAACCAATCCAAATAAAAAATCGAAAATCGATCCAAAAAACTGAAAACCATAAAAAACCGAAAGTTATTGGTTGTGTTTGGATGTTATTTTATGAAAACCGATCGGTTCGGATTGGATTTCGGATGAATTTTTCAAAACCGATCCAAACCAAACCGAACCGCATAAATATATTTTGATACTTATTTACTTTTTATTAGTATGACATGTTATGTGAATTTATTATTAGATGATAATAATTTTTTTAATAATATTTATTAGTTTGGTATAATCTATTTATTTTTATTATTTCAAACATAATCAATCACTCTCATTTTGTAATATTAACTTTTAATATACTATATGTTATATATTATATCAAATCTATAATTTATTAGTAGTTTTATAATATTAATAAAAATATAATGTGTAATTTGGATATCCAAAAACCGATCCAAATTAAACCGCATAAAATTGGATCGGATCAGATTGGATTTTTTTAAATATATCATCCAAAATCGAACCAAACCTTAAGTGAATTAATCTTTGGATCGGATGAGTTTTTGCTTTAAAACTGATCCAAATCGAACCGCGAACACCCCTAACGGATAGATTATCTCTTAAAAGCAAAATTAAAAATTGGTATAAGATGCGAGTAATATTTTAGATTTAAAAACTATTAAATTGAAAAGTATTTAGAAATTGTTTTTAGAAAAGAAATTTCCAAATAGTTTTTTCATTTAAAAGTTTTAGAATAATTATTTAAAAATTAAGGGTCCGTTTATTTTAATTTTTTAAAAATAATTTTTATAGTATTATATATTTTATAATTTTCTTTTAATATAAACTTCAAATAAAAATATCAAAATTGTAAAAAATTACTTAATTTTAAAACTATTACAAATGATTTTTCAAAAAATTTATTTTTAAAAGATAATTTTAACTATATTTTAATCTTCAGTAACATATGTTTATATTATATATAGAGTGTGAAAATTAATCTTTCTATTTATAAAAAATAAATTCAATTTATTTAAATATTTTAAAAATTATTTTTGAAAATATAAAAAAAAAACTTTTTTTTAAAAAATAAAACAAACATTACCTTAAATCAAGTTCTTAATCTACTTCTTCATCTTGTCAACTGGGAGATTCCTTTACACAAATTTTGATATCAGACTATGAATAATGTTTCGAAATAGATTTCTTTATATAACCCCGTTTTAACGGTAGATTCTGATTAAGTATACATTAAAAACCTAATCATGAAAAAAGCTACACAAATAATTTTGAAAAACTACATTAGCTTTATTTATTGAATCTTGCTACACAAACAAACATGAATCTTGAGACTACTACACAAAATGTAAGCATTATGTATTCAAGACAAGCAGCATTCTTATACAAGAATAATCACTTATAAGTCACGTTAAATACCAAGAAAGAAAAACCTGAAAGTCCACTATATAGTACACAATATTGAGTAAATGAATTCATTTTCAAAAGCTAAACCACAAACTGAAGCAGTCCTATTGTAGAAAACAGAAACAGCTCCATTCTTGTGTAGAAAATGGGAATGAACTGTCCATTGGACTTTAACACCTTAAGTATATCATTTTTGTTTTTATAATATAGGAGCAATCGAAGGATGGGATGGGATGCGATGTGATGGAACGGAACACTGCTCGCTTTATGCATTTTATTATTACACATTGAAGGGATCTCGTACCCTACGATGTTCTTTCGAAACCGCCACCTACCTGCATATGTAACCATTCTGGAGATGAACCTCTGCTTGGCTCTCTTGTAGCTTGTGAAACAAATGGCATACCGGCTAGATCATATGTTTGTTGACCATACTGGAAAGAACAGGAAAGAAGAAGAAAAATTACGTCATGTTTGGTAAACAACTTAATTAAGCGTTTATAACAATTTCTAAAACATTTTCACGAGTACTTATGCTAGTAGATAAACTCAAATAAGTTAATTATAACCGACTTTATGTCTAATAAGTCCATTTTTTTAAGCAATGATGAATAATTGAACTCCACGAATTACTTAGAAGCATTTTAATCCAAATTTGCAATTGAACAAAAATTCATGGTTTATCAAAAGTAAAATCTTAATATAAAGAGGATTAGAAAAGCTTTCTACTTGATTAGAGATTCATTGTTAAAAGAAAAACTTGATTACAGATGCAATATTAACATCAAGGGATATTTAAGACTTACATCTTTTGGAGGAAAGGCTTCAATGCCAGTGTTGAGTCTCGAATTAACTGCTTCAAGTTTCATCGACAGAAACTGTGACATCCAGTAACATTACAACTCTCAAAAATCAAATTCAAAACATATAAATTTTTCGAAGATTATAATTCAGCAGATACTGTAATCACAAATAATAGAATCGATACCTCCACTTGGCGCTGAAGTGATTGAATATAATTAATTATTTCATCAAGGACCAATGCTTTCCCAATAACCTGATTTGAAGAAAGTCTCAATTTATTATTTATTAGAAATATAACAATATTATTATTATTACAAATTTCATTTCTTTTAATGTGTATTTAAGAGAAGAAAAAGTTTACAAGTAAAAAAAATACCTTATTACAACCGGGAACTAAATCCTGAAGAATTTTCATCCTTTCACTAATCTTTTCCCTTCTAGCCTGTCCATTGTCCACCAACGTTCAAATTAGAAACACAATCATAAGCTCTAATTGCAACAGAATCATAAATTTACACTTTCCTTAAACAAGTACAAACAAGGTTCCAAATCATGGCCATAACCGCGTCCTAATTCTTATATTGAGAAGAATCAATGTCAAATATGGCTGATGCAGCACAAATAGTGGTTATGTTGTGACCGCAAAGACATCAAAAACCACAATGTTGCAGCCACAATTGTGATTGTGGACTGCTTAAAAAGCATATCTAAGAGGAAAATCCAAGCTTCTTAACAATTAGAAAGAGGAAAAAGCACCAAAAATAATCATTCAAGAGTTTGAAAGAGGTGTAAACGGATAGTAAATTACGCGTTCTGCAAGACTGTGGCTATCAGTAGCTTGACCCCTTCTAGCTCGAACATGGATGTAATCTTGCTTTGGAGGGTCGGGAGGAGGCGGCTTACTGCTTTGCTCCGCAGGCTTTCCTGAACTGGCTTCTCCTTCAACTTTACCATCATCATTCCTGTTCCCTAATGCTTTAGACCGTTTTCCATCACCATCATTCTGCACAATCCAAATAACCCTTTCATTAAATTGCAAAGATATCAATAAAATAATCAAATAAGGGTTGAAATCACACTTCCACAACATGTAAAAATAGTTTGTGAAATTGCTAAAATCATCATTAGAATTTATAACACTATTTTATTCCTTTTAAATGCAAAAAAAAAATCAAGCAAAACCTTGAGCGGGAAATTGCAAAAAATTTCCAAAATTAAAAAAACATACTTTTAGCATAAATACAAATTAAACCATAATCAACAATATAATTAGATCCGTCCTATTCATTATAACAACAACTCACTTCCTTAATCACCAATTTTCACTCCCAAAACACACACACAAACTCATTTATTTATACACGTTTTATATACTTATATTATCAATTACTTATTGAAATGAATTCCAAAAATATCAACAAATTAAGTAAAAAAAAAAGAAAAAAAAATTATACCACAGCATTGGCACCGCCATTACTGGTGGAAACACACTTAGTAGAATCAACATCTTCCGAGTCACGCCTCTTCTTACCACCACCATGGTTCAAAACAACTCTCTGGTCCGGTCCATCCACATCCCGGTTCGAACCGGTTCCAAATTCCCCAAACTGTCCCAAACCGTTTCCAAATTGCGGCCTCCTAAGTCCCAATCCACCTCCGCCGCCATTAATCGCAGCCGGAAACTGCCAGATCTCCGCTAAACTAAACGGCGTCGTATTCCCACTCCCATTCGGAAATGAACCCTCGTTCATCATCGAACCCGGATCCATTACTCGGGTTACACAAAGTCCAAACCCGAAAATCTTCCAGCTCAACTCAACATTAACAAAATAAGAGTAGTGTTGAACTTGAAGCACCGATGACTAGAGAGAGAAAACTAGAGAGAGAAAGAATAGTGTTAGGTTCGGTGCGTGATCTCCTTGGACAGTGGAGAATGGTGCGCGCTGTGTGTTGTTTATATCTCTCTCTCTATCTCTTTCTTCACTCACACTGTTCTTTACAGACACACTCCTCGGTTGCAGCGTACATTGTCGCTTTCGCTGAGGTTTTTACGGTTCTTTTTTTCCACCGTAGGATCTGATTACTGTCTATTCTAAATAAAAGATCGAGACCGTTGATTTCTTTTAACCAATTAGATTCTGCCACGTATAACGAGGTTGGGATCTGAGATTCACGGAGAGAGTGCGTGCAATCACATACCCTTGGATTACGAAAAGTTTTGGATTAATTAATCATTTAAGATACGATAGAGTTTGAGAGAGGTCAATTTGTAGGAAAGTTTTTAATAACGATGCTTATGTATGTTTATGGATTTGTTCTTATAAAATCATAATCATCTTAATCATGTTTATTTCTATAATTTTTTAATTTTATTTTGTAGGGTCAAAGGATAGATGATAGCAAAGGAACATATGAGAAAAGTGGAGGGCATATTAGAAGGCCCACAAGATTAACTGTCTCGGCATGGAGATTGGTTTGATGTTGAAGCTAAACTTCACCAGTTACATTGATTTTGGAGTGTGTTGGATTAGTTAAACAAATAGAAGCTGATATTGTTGTGTTGTCAAGTTCATATAAATCTTTATTCTGATTTTTAAAAAAATTGATATTGTTGGTTTAGACGTTATCAATAGAGCTTAAATTCTTATACACACTTTTGCATCACAAAAATATTAATATTGTTGGTTTAGACGTTATCAATAAAGTTTAAATTTTAATAGACACTTTTGTATATATAAATTTCTGTTAGTCGTTACCACTTTGTTTACGAACAAAAAATATATCGATTCATTTTTGCAAAATTATTTAAAGAAAACTAATTTGTGTATATCGACTTTTTTTGAGTAATAAAATTATCAACATGCATTAATTTAGTGGAGAAAATACTCAATTAGACATTAACACGTGATGAGGAGAGTTGTGTTATTTTAAGATTAATTAAAAATGGATTATTTAATGAATACGATCTTAATTAAATCAGCTACAAAGTTGGAACATTATGATGGTTTGATTGCACTTAAATTTGGTAGAGGAATCCATAAAAGGAAATCTAAAGGGAGTTGTGTTTGGGGTAGTAAAGGTGTTAGGGGTTTTGATGATTGGTGTGGGTGCACTTAGTTTCAATAATTGTCATCTCTTCACAAAATGGAAATATGGATTGTGAATATACTAGTAGTTGAGAAGATTTACAGATAGGAATCTATGACCTACTTAACATCTTTAAGTTAGGCTGAGATTAGGTCACACTTTCTTTTAGTAGATAAGGTCAAGTTTATAAATCTAGTAACAGAAGTTAGTTTTATATTGTGTTTGGTTTGACGTTCTCATCATGTAAACGCACGTTTCAAAATCTTTCTGACTTTGATTTTGAAAAACTATAAAAGATAATTTTTGCATAAATATACATTTTTAACATGTTATTAAGAATTTCACCGTCAAACCATACATAACATTAATCTAATAAACAAAAAAAATATTTGTTATTATATCTATTTTTTCTCATTTTACTTTATTTTATATTTTGTGTTAAATCATAAACTTATAATTATTTTCATGTATTTACACTATAAAAAATATATCTCTCAACGACATAAAGTTGTGACGTGATTATCACGTCACTATAATTTTATATATTAAAAAAATAAAAATAATATTTAGATAAAGGGATTCTATTTTTTTTAATAAAATTATTTATAACGTGAGATTCACATCGCTATTAAAAAGTTAATATAAAAAAAGGGCTGTAACGTTCAGATGGAGAGATTTTTAAAAAAATTTAAAAATTTAGTTGTGACGTATTTTTCACGTCGTAATATTTAAGGAGGGAAATTATTTGTTTTTAACTTGACATGTTACAGTGTTGTGCATACCGCCCTTATACTTTTATGACTGTTAGGTGTGTTGCGACGTGAAAATCACGTGGCAAAATTGCGACGTAATTTTCACGTCGTTACGTGACGTATATAGAAAACACGTGCATATATTCATCCATATCCCTTCTGTTTCATCTCTTTGAAAATTTTCTCTTCTGTTTCTCTTCAAATCTTCTAGCTTTGCTTATAAATTTCCCAAAAAAATTTCAAACCTACAATTTTAGTGATACTGGTAATCATATTATATGATTTAATTTTAATATATTGATATAACTTTGTTTACTGTTTATTATATTTACTAATACTGTTCTGGACTGAGCCCGACCTGGCCCAAAGCGCAGATAAAGGCCCAACCCAAGCAAACTCCTCGAGGAATACGCACCCGCGAATCACCGCCGACGTGCCCGACCACAGACTATAGCCACGCCCGCCATTGCCCGCACACATGGTGTCCCTGACCAAGGGAATTCCAGCTCGAGTCCTGCTCGAGCACTCTCCCCGTAGGACATATTCTGTCCTCTCTGACCGTTATCGAGTCATCTAAACTCCAGAAAGACCGCGTCTTCGTCCCTCCTCATTCTTCGCAGAGCATCACCAGGAAGGGGACCACGTGCGGAGCCCCACTACACACGTAGAACCTGGCAGTTCCTTTATTGGGCCAGTTCTAGTCGGCCCAATGAGGGGACCTTGGCCCAACGCTGGGGGCTATAAATACCCTCTGTTCCTAGAGGGTCAGGTATTCATCTCTTACGCATCTATACACTTTTTGCCTGCTCATTCCATCACTCATTCCAGCATCGGAGTGTCTTGCAGGTACCCCCCCCCCCCCCATCTCATTCAAATTCTGCCTGAGCCAGTCGTGACGGTCCAAGTCTGATCAGGTAAGATCAGTGGCGCCGTCTGTGGGAAACTAGCTTCCCCGTCTTACAAACTCTCGGAGACCAAAGCTAAAAATCACCTCCTACCGTCATGGCTGACCAAGTTCGGGATGACCAAAACGTCCGTGTCGTCGACGTCAACCACAACCTCGCAGATAAAAACAGAATTCCCGACAACACCGACAACCCTGGTCATAGCACACTCCCCGGGGGCACCATCCCCGGGCCCTCGATCCACCGCGACGGAGCTACAGTCTCATCTTCTTCAATCCCTACGCCACTCGAAGAAGACAACACGGCTCCCCCAAACTATCCAGCTGCCCAATTTCAGGAAGTCCCTGTCCCCGCCGGGGCAGATGCCACGACCCGCGCACTATTCGCGGCGATTAATCAAACCAACTACCTCATATTTGCCCAGGGGGAAAGATTGAGGGCGCTGGAAGATGATAGAAGACCCGCGAGGAGACACAGGAGGCCTCAGACCCCGCCTCCTCGAGTAACAGAGGTACATCTCCCGTCTCCCCTGCGGAGACAATACAAGGACACCTCCCGAAGCCCGTCGCCTCGACCGTCGGGGAGGCGACCCCCTTGGAGAGGCAACCCGTCATTGAAGCTGGAGGGCGCAACCATGGCCCCGTACGACAAGAAAGAAGACACTTCGGAGACAGGCACGAAAGAATAGACCAACGAGCATCCCGCTCGAGGGGCACCCTGCACGACCAGGACCGCCGGGCCCGACAATATCTCAGGTCCCCATCCCTGTCCCCAGAGCGAAGTGACGAGGACGACCCCCGCGGTCCTCTTTCACAAGCCATCATGGAGGCGCCCATTTCCCCGGGCATGGAGAAGCCTCCACATCTGAAAGAGTATGACGGAGTCGCGGACCCAGTCGACCACATAGACGGGTTCGAGGCTATGCTGCATTACCATAATGTCGGAGGACCCATCAAATGCCGATTGTTTCCCACGACCCTCAGAAAGGCAGCAATGGATTGGTATAAAGGCCTCGCCCCGGGATCAATCACCTCGTGACGAAACCTGAAGAATCAGTTCATAAGTTCGTTCACTGCGTCTCGGCGACACCCGAAGACGGAGGTAGTACTCGAGGCCATCATGCAGAGAGAGGATGAAACCTTGAGAGAATTTATCAATCGCTTCAATCGCGAAGCCATACAGGTCCCCTGCGCGGACCACATGAAAAGGTACTTGCTGGAGAGGGGGCTCCTCCCCAGCACAGAATTCAGAAAGGTGGTGGGCATCGAACCACCCCGAACATTCGATGCTCTCCTCGAGAAGGCCCGGGCATATATGGATTACGAGGAAAGGGAGACGGCCAATAGAGCCCGGGACCCCAGAACTCGTGGATCCAGCAGCAACCCACGCCAAGAAGACGCTCCTCCCCGACGAACCGGGGAGAAAAGAAAAGAGGAGAGACCCCGAGAAGTTCGAGAACAGAGAGGACCCTCGGGGCATTTTATAGAATACACTCTGCTCACAGCTTCCCGCGAGCGCATCCTGGCGGAGTGTGTCAGCACGGATTTCAAAGATGGCGGCGTCAAGCGCCCTCGACCTGCTCCCACCAAGTCCGGAGTAGACAAGAGCAAATACTGTCAGTACCATAGGAGCCATGGTCATCTGACTGAGGACTGCGTCCACCTCAAGGACGCCATCGAAACCCTCATCAAGGGAGGGAGGCTCGCCCAATACCGGTGAAACGACGCTCCTCGTCACGACACCCGGGAGACGAGAGAACCGGAGGAGGACGCCCGACCATCTGACGAATCGGTCCCCATCCAGACCACCTTCTCCATCACCAGACCGAAGGACTTCTACGTCCCCAAACACCTGCAGGAGCCGCTCACAACGCACAACAGGTAGGAGTATTTTCCCTCTACCATGGTCATCAATGGTGGAGGATTCAACGACCTAACTATAAATTCGGCCAAGAGGAAGCTGGATGAACTGGTCGACTCTGCCCCTCCTCAGGTCGTGACTTTTGAAAGGGTGAAAGGTAGGTCG